TGATAAATAGATCACATATAGGTTACTTTATTTTTGTTTTTGTTTATACTACAGTTAAGAGGGCTGTTGTATTTCAAAATTTCCTGAACTTAAAGAAATTGGAGATTGCAACAGTACCTTGAGTTAAAAATATATATTTTTTATTAATTTTTAATGAAACTGTAGAATAAGATAGTCGTAAGATGAGTTTCTTAGGAGAAAATAAGTACAAAAAGCTCCTTAAATAAAGATAAAAAAAATAATCATTCATATTATTAATGTATTTTAGAAAATAAAATACGAAAATTCCCTTTTAGTATTTTTATATTACAAACGTTTTTAGGTTCTCAATATAAATATGATACAAAATGATGGTTATAAATGTCATAATATTTATTAAAAATACTTTATGATCTGTTTTTCTGTTACTTTTATAATAAACAAATTAAATGTTTTTATTTCAAATCCGGTCAACAACATTTTTCGTGTATCTGTCTACACTTCGCAGTAGTGAAGTTGTTTGTGTCAAACTAATTAACTGAAGAAGTTACTACACTCTCAATATATTTTTAAAACAGTATATCGGTACAAAAATATTACTGAATGTTTAAAACAAACACAACAGAAACGTCAGGATGATGTAATAATAAAATAATAAAAAAAACGTCACAATATCCGAAAACCTTAGTCTCCTTCGATAAAAGTGCCTTCATACATATAATAGGTTGCTATAAATGTTCAATATTACATATTCGGCATTTTCCTTAAAAAGAAACAGTAACAGAATTTAAAAACGTTACATGTAAAAAAATCTAACACTTGCCCGAGTATTAATTTAAATAAAACTTACCTTTTTCCTATTTACAGGGAGTTTTTTATTTTAAACTACATACTTCCGATTTTACTTAAGGTCACATGTATTAATCTTATTTATATTTCAATAATTTTATGAAACATTATGACAATAAAAAGACAATAACTTATAATTTGTTCATTTAATATTCAGAACGCTCTCAAACAATCGTTCAACTCTGTGTTATTTCTGTATTTGACATCTAGTCGGAATCATTGTTAAACCAGTTATATTTGCTACAAAGGGGGAACACACAATTATATCCTCGTTTGCAGATAAAGCATAGTTGGTTGTAGTTTTAATTAGGATGGTGAAATTTTTGACATATCGTTTCTTATTTATTATAATTTTTGCGAATATACTATCTTAAAATAAGAAGAATACATAAGTGAATTTTATTTTTAAATATTTAAAGTCAATCGAACCATTTTTATGACAATATTAATTTTTCCTTTCTGTGACTGCGGTCTGTAGAAATTCATTTATTTATTTATTTATTTATATACTCTTTATTGTACACAAATAATATAGACAAATAATAGGAGTAACATAAAGAAAAGAAAATGTACAACAGGCGGCCTTATCGCTAAAACAGCGATCTCAATATAGAATATAGAAATATAGAAATTCATAAAATGTGTTAATTTAACGGATACAGTTACCACCTGATATTGATAGGCTACTTCAGGTAATTTTTTAATCATCATCATCAGCCAAAAGACGTCCACGTCACGTCCAATTTTTGAATGTTATGCCTCAATCTCAAGGCAACACTACCCGTAATGATATGCTTAGGATTTGATACGCATGACTGCAGGGCCTCGGGAAATCGTGAGCGCATTCTGCCGGCATCCAGAACACCAGAAAATTAAGAAGTCGATGGCGGTACATAAATAACAAGACCAACTGACAGACATTTACATCTCGTCTGCTGTGATCACGGTTGATGAAAAATAGCCAAATCGTCGGGAGTATGTAGGTTTTTTACAAAAATAAGGTCGTGTAGTAAATCCGAAAAATATTAGTTTCATTTAAAAGTAAAGTATTAGTTTCATTTAAGTTACTCGGATCCACAATGGACCAACTACTTTTTTAATATCATCCTCTCATCTTTTAGTTACGGACAAACAAAATTTTAACTAAAAAAGTCCTATTCAAAAATGTGTACTTAATAATTATTTAGACTTTATATTCAATGTAATAAGAACAATACGGCACGTAAGTACGTCACCCTTGTGTGAGACAGTACTTATTATTATACAGGAACAAGCGACATCATATAACAAGGTGTTCTCGTCTTTATTGCTTACCTATTATACGCATGTTAGGAAAGATTACAGGGACACGAAACATATGTATATATTTCCTTTCGAAATAAATACATAGGGATTTGATTAAAAATATTATAGAGTTTAAACTTTAACAACTTTAAATTTAAAAGAAATTAATAAGTACGATTCCAGGCAATTTTTTAATTAATTTATTTTCCTGTGAAAATAAACTTAGACTAAAAAATGATGCTTATATGATTTATAACATAAAAACATATAATAATATATATTTTTTCAAATACGTTTTGCCAGAAATTTTGTATTACCACAATAAAATGGACGATTTTTCAACAATTAAGATAATATATTACACAGAAGTGATTTCAGCCAGTCTAAAATCTCATTTGATGATCTCTCATTTTATGCGACAGAATTATTATTACACAAATACTTTATTCGGTTAGGTACATAATATTTTAAAATAAAATTAACTTGTAATGGCTATGGAACATTCTCAAAACAAATGTTTGATCAACCGAAGTTTAAATTTTTTAAACAATATTTCTGTGCAAAACAACTCAAGTTTAAAAATAATAATATTTTTCATATTTTATTTTAACCGTTATGAAATATCTTTTAAATACATAATTTATTTTTTACTTAATAGTTTATAGTAAGTTATTTATAGACAAGAAATTAAAAATGTAAATTTTTTTACCTTAATAATAAATTTAGTTTGGATACGATTACTTAAATTTGTTTCTATACTTAACTACGATAAGAAGTAAATCAAATATTATGTGAAAACTGAAATTTTACTGCCTCAATTCAATAAGCGTTACTTTTATTATGTAAGTGACGTCATTTATCGTAATCTCTTTTAAAATAATACTTCTTTGTTTTGAAGCAAATATTCTCTTCAGAGTTTCCAATTAAGTGCCCAAAAGCACGTAAATTATAATATTATAATTAGAACAATGGATAGACTCCCATTTCTTCCAGGAATCATTTAGGATTCGGTAAATAAAGAGCTTGATATAAACAAGCATAATATAATACATATTATGCGACTACATGCATTTAATATGACATTGTTTCAGAAGTTTCCAGTACGTTGCACCAGATGTAATCACGAGTGAATCGTGCTGAAACTAACTAATTACTAGTTTCAGTTCCGTATTCATACATGTTTGATACAACACCTACATAGACTTAACAGTACTTAGAAGGTTCTTAGTGAAATATCGTATGTTCTGAAAATTAAAACCTCTTTTGAAAATTGAAAAGATCCATTGTGTTTATAAGAAAGACTTTTACTGAAATTAGTACGAAATCAATTGAGAATAATAAACATTTCGTCAAAAACATAAACCACACAATATTAATTATCAAATTCAATTTTTTATACATGGTAAAAGCTAAAGATTCATGTAGAGTGCATGTATGTAACGTGGCGTAGTCCGGGCAGTATTACCATGCCACAGATAATAACATCTGTGATTTCTTCGGAAAGTGAGAGTACTGAAAGCAGCAAGAGCTTTCTCAATGAATTCTATGTTTTTTCCATGGTTTTATAGTTCGTAAAGCTTCATCACACCTACAAAATGTCTTAAGAGGCTAACGTCTGGCGAATACTATTTACTACCATGTAAACTGCTTACAGTGGAAACGGTAGACAGCCAGTGATGTTTAAAATATACCGAGTTTGTAAATCAAATTAACTATCACCATATCTAATTACATAAGTTCATTTAATACAAATAGTATAACAGACTCATAAAGTGTAATGTGTTTGGTGAGTTAAAAATCGGTTGTTTATTTAGTAAATTTATAACTCTTACTGCTTCTCAGTACAAGATTTTCCATCATCTTACCAAGCCAATAATAATCCACAACTTTCTAATAGGATTAACATATAGCTTTATCTTTAAATAACAAAAAATATAAAAATAGAATCTTTTCGTCTTTTTTAGAGACTTGCTCGTTTTACATTGAAATTTTAGTGGTTGGACAAATATATAAATATAGCGGCATACAGTCCGGTAGTGATTCCCAATTGGCGTTGATAGAGAAGAGACAATGTTTACCAATTTATTAAAAAACTTTTGTACCAAAATACAGTTTTATAAACGAAGTGCAATTTCGTTCCTATTTTCAATTGAATATTTATTTAGGAGTGGAGATTTACCTTTTTAATTTAATAATTATGTTTGCCTTAAAATTAAGAAAAACGCTTTTACTTTTTGGAAAAAACTCAGTGAAGGGGCAGTCTTGCAGGTATTTTGGGGTTCAAACTTTATTAATATCAAAACAACGTTCAGAAAGTAAACATTTAATTTATCAATAATTAATATTTATACAAACATATATTTGTGGTAATCCCCATCAAGTTTCTTAATTGTATAAATATACATATTTCCCTCACATTAATATGTTTTAAATATCGCTGACGATACTGAATTAAAGCATATTAGAATTAATTGAAAATTTGGTGATACAAACGACGCAATATTCTATTTTAAAATGATTTGACACGAAGTTAATTTACACGCTATTTATCTGATTTGAATGATATTTGAACTGACAACGACAAGTTAATTTTAAATGAAAAGCTGAAGTACTTACAAAAAATTTAATATTTTATACACATAGATAATTTTTTTAATGTTAAGATTAAACTCATTTTACTTTCAAAAGTTTTCTTAAATTTTTTTCTGTAGTTTAAAATTTTAGATTTTTTTTAGTATTCTTTGACATTGTTAGCAATTTATATATAAGACGAAACTTCTCAGCATTCCATGGATTCACCGTGCGGGTGCCGGGTCCATCGCGTTGCAGGGAGAGGAGCTTCAACAGTGCCTGGGACTTGTGACCCAAGTGTAGGTTTAAGGGGCCCCTTAACTAACGCGCGTTATACGCTCACCTCCACTGTCCAAGCTCCTCTCCCTACCTAACCAAATTTGAAAAGAACCTACTAGGGCTGCCTTCGATGTACGTTCCAAGAATGCATTAATGTGAGTTCTGGACAAGCCCAAGTCCTTTAGTAGGTTATAGAGAGATTTCGCTGTTATACCTCTCGCTCCCACCTCTACCGCGTACAAATCTACTACGAACCTATTTCGAGTGAGTTCGTTTGTGAGCTCGTAATATTTGTTGACCTTGATGGTATGGTCTTTGGGGATGTTGGCTTCCCACGGGACCGTAAGCTCTATCATCACTACGCGCTTTAAAATTCGCGAAAACAAAAATATATCCGGTCTGGAGGCCGACGCACAAATATCCTCGGGGATTTTATATTGTTTTTCATACGTGTCCATCATTATAGTCCAATCCGACGCCGCTTTAAGGATGGAGTAAGGCTTGACGTTTGATTTTGTAGCCCTAGTGCCTTCTCTCACAAAACCTACTGATCGTTCGTTTGTGGTTATTTTCTTTTGCGCTCTGGCTACCGAAAGACTAACCGCTTATTATTATATTATTTCATATCGTGTATTTAATTAATAATTCTCGAACAGTTATTTGTGTCATACAAATGGTTATAGTTATTTTAAATAATTTTTGTGAATGTTTGAAATTCCTTACCTACTATAATTTATTATGCCTGTGATATATTCCAACTCATTTTGCGAATGATGTAATATTTTTCACGTTATCTTGTAAAAGAAAAAACATTCCCCGCTTTTGTTTATGTTTGTTTACATGGAAATATTATAAAAGAGTTATTGTTTTATATTCATGTGTAGTACAGAAGATGCATGTTCTCTTCATACTGCACCTGTCGTATATATTCTTTTACGTATATAAAAAATATGTCGCTGGTAACAGCTGAACCGTTGATTTGAACCGTTTCCTGATTTACTTGAATAAGCTATTGATTTTTTTTCTCTATCTGCCCAAGGTAGCTTTTATAAATAGGCAACATATTAAAAAAGCTTACACTACTACTGTACTATACAATACTGCTATACAGTGACCCCGAGTATACATTGTCTGTACTTGTATATTTTGTAATTTATTATTTATTCTAAAATTATTTAGGAATAATCAAACGGCCTTATTCCAAATAATATTTTACTATTTGAACATTATTATTATATATGCTGTCATATTTTTAATTTATTCTATTAAAGGAAACTGTCTTCTGAGTATGTGACTGTATATATATTAAGATACATATATACAGTAAGCCTTCTATCTGAACCTTTATAAATGTAGAGCAAGACATATTCAGACGGCGTGGTTGGCGAGTCTCTAAACATTTTTTTTTTAAATATTGAACCAGATAAGTCTATACTTATGTATAACCAATATTTTTTTTAAAAAAAGGAAATATTGATGTTTCTCTATATTTATAGTAATTTTTATTAAAAGGTTATTACTATAAAAAGTATCTTATATACATAGGTGTACAACTTTGCTTCCGCCGTTTTGCAATAGATGGTTGTAGCGGTAAGTGGTAGTTGAAATAAATAGATCGTAGATATCATACAATAAGCTTAGGCATTTATAAACATAACGCCATCGAAATATTAGTCGATTTATGTCTGCATCATAAAGTTATTCTCGATTAAACATGTCAGCTTACGAGCCAAATTCTCGTCATTTGCGGGAGGTTTTAATTTTCTGCTATAATATAAAGAAATCTGCGGCTGAGGCTCATCGAATGCTCTGAAATACCTATGGTGAGGCCGCTATTAGTGAAAGAACGTGCCGAGAGTGGTTTCAACGCTTCAAAAACGGTGATTTTGACGTCGAAGACCGGCATGGCGGTGGAAGAGAGAAGGTTATCGAAGATGCAGAATTGGAGGCATTACTTGATCAAGACTCGTGTCAAACGCAACAAGAATTGGCAGGATCATTGGGAGTGATGCAACAAGCCATTTCAAAACCTCTGAAAGTCATGGGAATGATTCAGAAACAAGGAAATTGGGTGCCGTACGAGTTGAAGCCGAGAGATGTTGAACGGCGTTTGTTTGCTTGTGAATAGCTGCTTGCAAGGCAAAGACGGAAAGGATTTCTGCATCGCATTGTGACTGGGGACGAAAAATGGGTTTATTACGATAATCCCAAGCGCAGAAAATTATGGGGATATCCCGGCTGTGCTTCCACGTCGACGGCCAAACCGAATATTCACGGTTCCAAGGTATGCTCTGTATTTGGTAGGACCAGCTCGGCGTAGTGCATTATGAGTTGCTAAAACCGACTGAAACAATCACAGGCGATAGTTATCGAATGCAATTAATGCGTTTGAGCCGAGCATTGAAAGACAAACGGCCGCAATACAACGAGATACATGATAAAGTGATTTTACAGCACCACAATGCTCGACCCCATGTTGCGAAAGTGGTCAAGACATACTTGGAAAAGTTGAAATGGGAAGTCCTACCCCACCCGCCGTATTCTTCAGACGTTGCTCCCTCGGACTATCACTTGTTTCGATCAATGGCACACGGCCTGGCTGACCAGCACTTCCGGTCTTATGAAGAAGTTAAAAATTGGATCTATTTGTGGATCGCTTCAAAAGATGACCAGTTTTTTCAACGCGGGATTCGTATGCTACCCGAAAGATGGGAGAAAGTAGTGGCTAGCGATGGACAATACTTTGAATCACAAATGTATAACCAGTTTTTTACAATAAAGCCTCGAATTTCGGAAAAAAACGGCGGAAGCAAAGTTGTACACCTAATATTTTCTAATTAAATACAATTTTCAGGTATTTGAGGAAGTTAAAAATTATCTTTAAACGATTTTTGTCTCAACTTTTAATGAGTTTCTGTTTTTATTACAGCAGTAGTAGACCTTTTCATCTTCCTGCCAACATTAAATAGTAACATCCGCTTTATATGTAGGTACATATATAAATATACTCTTTTATAATTATTTCAGTATTTTTTATGCAAGGGAACGTCTGATATTAGAGATTTTAATGCAATGTAAAACGCGGTGATAGAATTGTATAAAAACTTTATAAATTGTTAGAAAACAGATAACTTTCCCAATACAAGTCTGGTGTAATTGTTATATGGTATTTATTTTGACGATGGTTCCCGAATTCGATTCCATATATGTGGAAATAAATTAAGCTAAATTAATACAGCTAAAATCCCTAATTAACCGTCTTTGAATGATTACCGTGACGTTTTGTGTGAGAATCTCATTGTGTATCTAAAACTTTGTACGTACTTGCTGTACACTTAAGTCAATTGAAAAAAGTTGCTTTTTGTAAGTATCGGAGTTACATTAAAACTTTAACATCAAGTATGTTTATAATACAAATATATATTTAATGAACGAGATTTATGTTCATGCAGTGTTGATTTCTGTCGTCCTTATTCCAAAATGCCTGGGATTTTGTATTGACAAAATATTTATATTTTATAAACATATGAACACAACTACATCAAAATAGTGACTACTAAAGTATGTACCTACATTAAACAATTAGCTAATAATTCCTTTTTAAAATACTGCATTTTATAATTTAATTACAAGTCAGTATCTGAGTTACATTCATCTTGTCTAACCGTAATCCCAGTTGCTGTAAAATAATCGAAAAGTAAAGGAAATATAAAATAAAAAGACGCGTGGCGCTCGGAAACTGCCGCGGTAAAGATATTGTATAACATATCATTTTTAAGTATTGAATAGTATTTTTTCTTTATTATTATAATGAAAAACAAATTTAAATAAACCAACATGAATTCAAAATCATAAAAAGTAGACTGTCGACGTAAAATGAAAAATTGCCACTTGGATACGAAAGCAACATATGTATGTACGTTTCAGTATCGACTTCTGAATCCCGCTATCAGTATTTTGTAGCTCACTTACTATAAATACAATTGAGAGTGATGCCAATACTGTATTAGTAGCTTCTCGTTAGCAGATTTATCAGCTTATCAGCACGTCACGTAATTATTTTTTCGACGTTTGACGATAGGTCTTAGGAATTTTGGTTACGGAATTTCTGGGTTCGGTCTCCACGCTCAAAGCCCGCTATAGAAGCTATGCAATAGTTTAAAAGAAAAAAAAACGTTTTTTATTAAAAAACACATACTTTAATTTCAAATGTATAAACTACAAAAAAATTACATATCATAACGGAAGATTATCTATTAAATAGATATTTAAACCGGAACCGTTCTTGGATTCCACAGAGTTTAAAATAAGTTACTCGTCATCGCTTACGCAACCAATTTTATTTATATATTGAGGTTAAAAATTAAAGTTTTCAAAAATTTCCTATTTTTAAATCTCCTATTTTTAAATACAATGAACATATCGTATAAATCGACTATTATTATTTTTATATTACCTTAGACTCTTATCACAGTAATAACCCTACATGATATAAAATAACCGCTGCTTTTTTGTTTTACATTTAGTTGAGGAAATTTTAAAATTAATTTGAACCCGTCAAATTCAAATTCATTATGTATTTACGGTTCATGACGTTAACTAATACTTGTAGATGCGTTAGGCTTTATTGTGGTTACTATTTTATAAAATGAGATAATTGTGTACATTATGTATACAAATTGTAATAATTATTTTATACTAATTTTGATATTTCGTTATTAAGCTTTATTTTTCGATACTCACTCGCATTTGATAACATTCTACGTAAGTTAAATAATATAAATATAGATATAATTTTACAAACAACAATACTGAATCCGATTCTTATAAAATAAGTACATCCAAATCAGGTGATGAAAATGTTTAAAAATTTATTATCTCATTTCGCAAAAAAAAATACAAATGAAATAAAACATTGAGATTTTATAAATATTGAAAGCGTTACATTTCGTCAATTTCATTCTTCAGAATATTAAAAAATGTGACGTATCTTTATTTGTATTGGAAAACCTTCCAACAACCCCCAAAGTTACTTGTCATGAAGTCTTTATTCAAATCGCTGACAAAAAACGAATTATTCCTTAAGATGTTTAATGAACCTTTAACAGACCGACCTTTTCCTTGTTCCGAGATCCATTATAGTTATCTTCTTTAAAACAATGATTAGGTACGCAGACAACTCTGCTTGTTGGTCACTAAGCTCGTGAATTGAAAACCTATAAAGGTCTTACTACTATTGTTAATTAGTTGGTAATTGAAATAGACAATTTACATGGAATAAGAGAAACTTGGATCTCCAAGCGACAACTAGTTTGTGATTTACACAAAATGCGTGAACATTTTTCGAATATAAGAACAATTCAATATTTTAGGTATGATATACAGAAAACACCTGTTTATATTTTTTTGAATATAAGAATAATTAAATATATATTTTAGAGACTGTAACAGCTAATAACCAGTTAAGAACTAAAATACCAGATCATCCGCATACATTCACTCAAAGTTTTTCAAGAACTCACGTGTATTGTTATAATCTTCTATATATATAAAAATGGATTGCTGTTCCTTAGTCTCGCTAAAACTCGAGAACGGCTGAACGGGTTTATCTTATCTTAGTCTTGAAATGTTTGTGGAGGTTCAGGGAAGGTATAAAAGCTGAAAAAATTGATTCATTACTGGGAAAACCATAAAAACAGCCCTTTTCTATTTCCCATACAAACGATTTTTTTTTACATTAGATTTGACAACTAACTAATATGTCAATCATTCTGTCGCACTTCAAAACACGGAGATTTATGGCTTACAGGTAAACTCCAAAAATATAAATAAAAAACGTAATAGATATTTCTTGATTATAGGGCGATACGAAGTTCGCCAGGTCTTCTAGTCTATTATAAAACTAAAGCTATTGTCAACTCTAATGAATATTCTTATATGTTGAAGCGTCGTATTTTTAAAGTACCAGTAACAACCGTTAATTCATCCTTTGCACGACGCGACGTTTCAATCCTTTTATTTGCCACTTTGCATATAATAAAGTAACTAACTTATGTGACATAAAACGTAGCACTTTAAATGAAGCTAAAAAGGTTCTCCGTAATTGGCTAATTTCATTGTCTTATAAAAATACAGAAAAAAAATTTATCGTACAAACGTGATCTCAGATTCATGAAAATTATGTATATTTATATCTTGTATATTTACTTTATTATGTATGTGTATGTATATGTACATAGATATATATGTACATATATATATATATACATATATATATACAGGGTGACTGGTGAATTACTATATGTGTGTGTGTGTGTGTTTATATATACATATATCGGCGCTACCAGCTTTAATAACGGATGCGACATCTAAATAATTTGAGGCTGTCATCAATTCTTATTAAACCTCATTCGTATTTATGATTATTGTTAAAAGTAAAACGAAATCAAAGGAGAATAGAACTATGTTTGAATCTTGTTATTAATATCTGGACACACGACGGCGGACTCCAGAATTGGGAATTCAGAATTGATAATTCAGAGTTCAGTGAGTGTGTATCATTGAAGTATGTTATTATGAAGAATCTTTGAGAAATACAGGAGCATTAAGAATAATTGAAGTTTCATTTTAAAATATCATGGACCGTAGTAGAAGTGACATTTGTAACGTCAGCGAGGCTGGCGTCCCTCTCTTATAAAACAACGAATTTGTAATAAATCCAATATATATTTTACTATCGTAATATTAATTACTATATATTTATGTTATCCCATTTTATTTACTTGTCTTTGTATCATTTTCCTTATATATTTAAGATTTAATACTTTTGAGCTTGGTATAGTTAATCGTAAATAAGGCATCCACGACAAAATCTTTTTTAGTGTGGACGCCCCTGGAAATCGCGCCAAAGGTTTAAAGTTTAAAGTTTATTTTTTATGCATTTATACATTTATGTGACATTAGAATAAATAATCATAATTATAAATAATTAATATAATAAGTATAAGGAAATAAGCTGTTGTAATTTCTTTATAAGATTGAACTAGCTTGCAACGAATATATTACTTACCAAAATAAACATGACTAAAATAAACTAACATTATTGAGGGAGATATCAAATTCTCTGTAGCAATTTATTCAAATATAATTTATTGTCACAATAATACATACATTTATATTTATTAGTAATAAGTGTATTTTGTTAATGAATTTTTTTTTGCCAAGATTGTTGTTAGATAAAATAAACTCATGATACAAAGACAATAAAAAGAGCAGATACTTAGTTTGATTTCATTTCAATTAGACCGAGAATTGAAAAAGTATTTTGTTCCTTATTACACTGCAACGTAAAAGAAAGACTTGTTTAGTAAAGTCTTCCTTGCTTGAGATCAAAGGCATTCTTCAAACATATTCACAGAAGTTAAGGACAGAACGTCTTTAAACGGGTTTGTAATGGATGACATATCAAATAACATTTATTATCATAAGTTTCAGTTTCTTCTAAACATACGTGTGTATTGTATGTGAGAATAAGAGATATGTTAAGTTAGAAAAGTCATTACCTCACTTTTGCTCCACTGACGAACCGATCAATATCAATATAATTTGTAATAAGTGGGACGACTGGACTTATCGGACTCTTTAAACCTAACCTACATAAGATAGTTTCACCTGAGATATCAGAAATCCTGATCAGGTTGTCCTGGTTTTGGAAACTATATAATTTCATATTCAATTCAAATCCAGTTTGTTTCCGTGAACGTGTCAGTTCTTTAATGTATGTTAGACTTAAATAATAATTTGGAATGAAAATCTTAATGATAACAACGATTTTTATTAATACACTAATAAAACTATGAATAATATTAAACTATAAGTGCTTATAAATATCGATAATCATAAAAAGTTACAAAGACTTACAAGTTAAGTATAACGAAAAGCCAAAACTAGTTATTAAGTTACTTTGCGCCCTTCTTAAAATAAAACATACATTCGATCTCATAGCTCTATACTTTATTGATTATTTTTTCATTTTAATTATTATATAAAAATAAATTAAAATTGGGAAACAAAACCGTATCTTGTTCAAGTCAACCCTTTCAACAATTTTTTATGTTCTACTCAACATGTCACTTCAATATATGTATATTCGAAACGAACTACCAACTTACCATTTTAATAATATCTAAGACTCTCGCGAGTACTCATTAAAAGTAAAACTAATTATTTCGGATTTCCTATAACATTGTAATTATTTTTTTATTTACTGTCGACTTTTCGGTTACTTTTAAGCAATCTCTATCACATGCAGACGATATGAGAGCTCATCTAGTAAATCCGAAAATATTACTTTTATGTAATTTAACTTTTCATTTTAGTTATTGGGTGATAACGGTAAATAAGTCTTGGAAGTGGGAAGGTACCAAGTTAAGTATTTTACCCAGGGATATTTGTTTTTACAGTACAAAGCTCTCTTCCATTCCTACATTAATTAAAACATCTGGAGTTAGGCCGCGATCCGCTTCTTAAAATCTATGTAAATGCTAGGCTTGCGAGAAGTCTTAATTATTTATTGGACGTTCTATGAACTGAAAATAAAATACTCATGGTATCTGTAAAACAAAGCTTCCATTAAATATATAAACATAAGAATGTCGCAATAGTTTACCAAAAAGTCTTGTAATATATTTGACTTCCACTACATTAAGTCGTTAAAATCCAACCTAAGATTTTCAAATAGAAAAACTGTTACTTAGTTTTATTTAACTTCTAAAATATCTTTTTGCCTTTTAACTGTTTCATTTGTTTTTTGTTCTGTACACATCTAACTTTCTTTTCATTGGAAACGTGACTCTAATAAAAACGGTAAGATTTCAAGAGTGCGGTCGTAATTCCTTTGTTAACTGAGATTGATCTCATAGATTCCACCGAAATCTTGCATCATTCCATGATGTGTTAAAAATTTATACTCAACATACCCTTATAAATACACGATATTCTATATTAAGTTTGAAATTAATAATTGACACATAATATATCGAATGAAGAAAACTTCTGTTTTGAATAAAAACTCTTGAATTGACGTAAGATTTCCAAGCAGTCCCAAGGTTATCATTTAATAAAAACAATGAGAGTTTAACATCATATTGAACGTGCTTCATACATTGAGTCACTGAGTCGCGGAACTTGTGTAATTAATTTCAAACGCGATGTAATACAACCTCCCTATCTGTTTACGGTTCATGACGTTTACTAAAACTCGCGGTTCAATAACTTTATTGTGGACTCCGGAAAATAAATTATGTGTTATAAAATATACACACAGTAAATAGACAATCACTATTAAATCAATGAGCGCTTTAGAAACAGCACAATGATCACCTTAGTAAGAAACATTTTAAAATTCTTCTGAAATGTAGCCTTAATTACTACATTACAACATTACCTACCAGCAACAAGTAAATTCTGTTTATTTAATATAACAAAGTAAAAATTTATTTCTTAGTTAAATTTTATTTTAAAAAACTAAATCTACTTCAAACATGACACATTCATCTGAAATTGACTGTCTCAGAACGTCTTCTGACATAAAAATTTTGAATTAATTCAAAACATTTCCTAGGAGTTATTCTTATAAACCCAATGTTAAACATTTTTTCAGATACTATACTAACCACAACATTTTATACAGAGTTACTAAATAAAAAAAAACAGTGTTCTAGTTTTGTGGTCACAAGAAATATTAAAAAGTTATATGATATGTACATGTCATGCCTTGGCTACTTGACTTTGATATGTCTAAGTGATGTAATGTTTTGAAGAAGTAAATATTCATGAATATTCATAAAACAGACACGTAACAAAACGTTTTGAGAGTTATTTCTGTAATTCTGTAGATCACCCTTCAACATTATAAATGAATCTTAAAAAGACCAACCTCTTCCTTGTTACGAGTCTCATTTATGGTTGTACTTCTCAAAACAATGATCATTAACAAAATAAATCTTAAGTATTTCTAACGTGTAATTGATTATTAAACTTTTTATAATAGATCGGATTGAAGCACATTACATAATTCTTGTAATAAGTGATTCTCAATAATACAAACAATGCTGATAGATCAGAGAGTACTTATAT